TGTATCTTGTATCTTGTATCTTGTATCTTGTATCTTGTATCTTGTATCTTGTATCTTGTATCTTGTATCTTGTATCTTGTATCTTGTATCTTTTTACCTGTTACCTTGTATCCTGTAATTTTGTAATATTTATAAAGATCATACACACACACACACACGTATTATATATATCACAGCAGCATAAATAATCAGACTCTATATTCTATTAAAGTTATTCAATTCAACGAAGAGCTCTAGCAATAATTGTATACTTGATATCTTCATTTCATCAACTGTAAAATTGTTTTGGGATCTCTTGGCAAATTAGCTAAGATAATTATCTTAGTGGTTTTATGCTTCGCTGCAGCAGCTTTAAGCTGCTATGCGCAAGTTGGTTGCATCTGCAGCTCTTGGTTTAAAGCCTATCAAATTACAGTTTGCCTTTTGTTATAGTCTCTTTCGGTGTCTGTTGTAGCCCATTTGGAACTGAAGCTGCTGCTGGATGTTGGCAACATTTAGTAATTTGTAATTTGCTCAGCCAGCAGCAACACATTTGCCCTATTTCAGCTTCTCTCCTGGCCAAATTGCTATTTCTGCACGCATCTTGTTGCCATTTTGATAAGCCGTTCGACTGTCCACATTTTGTGGGCCGATTGGGTGACAACTTTTTGACCAACTAGCCCAAAAGTGAATGCCGTGCTGCAGCTTTTGTAACTCAGGCAGGCGTATCAACGACTGGCAAGGTCATTTGTAACCTTAACTAAGCAGATTTGAAAGCCTCTACGCATATCAAATGTGGGCTGGTTCTTGCAAAGGGCGCTTCGGGCCAGCTTATTCTGCAGCGTGTATGCCGTGTGTATAAAATGGCCAATTGCTGTCAGGTAAGGCATCAGTAGCACAACGGGCCACACCAAGCCAACGAGTAGCAGCTTCTACAATCCACAAACTACAAACTAAGAGCAAAAAGCGGACAAATAGTCCTATACTAATCACGTCACCCATCATGAGACGGGTAAGTTAAAGAGCCGGGGCTGGGCCATAAATTTTCGGCCAGTCGATCGCTTGCGGCGCGTTGTAAAACGCATTTGAGCAGTGACAGGCAATAAATCAGGATAAACGAAAACTCAAAAGGATAACACTCCCAAGCACATTAGGAAAATTTTTATGGACATTGTGCCTTGTGCAACGAAGCATTGAAGCATCCTTAACAGGTTTGATTTTTGTAAACAAAATATTTTTGAACTCGTGATTGAGAATTATGATGAGTTTGTGAATTTACTACTGTCCCAATATATAATCAATATGCTCGCAAATGCCAAATAATCAGGCATACAAATTAAAATGTTTCAAGCAACAATCTGTCAATGAAATTTGAAGGAACATCATCTTTTATTGAGAGTATTAAATGCTGTTAAATAGTTATTCATGGCATCTTTTCAGAAGGGAATAGGAAATGTATTTGTTAGCTCGTCATGTAGTGAACTTTATCCTTTGCATTTGCTTATAGAGCGGCCTGTTGATTGGCGTATGCCTACTGATCTGCAATGTGGCCAATGCATCCTTTCTGCGACCCATCGAGCTCAGCCAATTGACCAAATCGGCCAGTCTCCAGCAACAGGAGCAGCAGCAGCAGCTGCGTGACCTGGACAATGATGACTCCAGTTTGGATGAGCCCACGACAATTTTACCCAACTCTAGTGAGGATTACGATAGCCGGCCACAGTATACATTTGCCTACGATGTGCGCGACACGCTGACCGGCGATGAGAAGCGACAGGAGGAGAAACGTGACGGCGATTTGGTGAAGGGCCAATATTCGCTTGTCGAGCCCGATGGCACGAGGCGCATTGTGGACTACACAGCGGATGATGCCAGTGGATTCAATGCTATCGTGTCAAAGCAACGCCTCGATGGGCGACTGAGCACAACGCAAGCGTCTTCCTCGTCTTCATCCTCCTCCTCCTCCTCTGCCTCTACCTCATCTCGCTACAATAGTATTGAAGAGCTGCAGTCGCGCCTAACAGCTCAAACTATTGCTGAAGCTCAGGCTCTGGCCGAAGCCCAGCAACAATCGCAATTGCAATTGGAAGCAGAGGCGCGAATCGAGTCTGAGAACCAAGCTCGTCTCCAGTCTCAGCAGCTCATGGAGCAGTTCCAGCAGCAAGTGCAGCAAACCGCACAGCTGCGTCAACAGCAAGAGCAACAACGTCTGCAGCAGGAGCAACAGCTGCGCGAGTTGCAGCGTCTGCAGGAGCAGAGAGAACGGGAACAGAGGGAACGGGAACAGAGGGAACGTGAGCAGAAGGAACGTGAGCAGAGGGAACGCGAGCAGAGGGAACGCGAGCAGAGGGAGCGTGAATTGAGAGATCGTGAGCAGAGGGAACGTGAGCAGCGCGAGCAGGAGCGTCGTCAGCAACAGGAGCGTCGCCTAAGCCAGAGTCAAAACCAAAATCAGAATCGCCTGCTCGAACGTCTGAACAGCCAGCAGCAGACTTTGCTGCTGCCCAACTCAAATCAGCTGCTGGGTCAAAGTGTCCAGGCCACCGTTGTCTCGCATCCCCCAACTTTGATCTCTCGCCTGCCAGCGATCAACTCAGGCAACCTGCTGCTGACTGGGGAGCGTGACTTGGACGCCTGGCGCCAGCTGCCCAGCTCCCGCCTAAACATCGAGCGCAACGCGCAGTCCGTGATCTTGTCCCAGCCGTCCAGTGCCTCGGTGCAGGCTCAACTGATTGGCTCGCCTTTACTGCTGAGCTCGGCGAATCTGAACGGATTGATTACTACGCGCCTCAATGGGAATGCAGCTCGTGCCGGCGCTGCCATTAGCTGGTCACAGGGACGTCGTCTCGACAATGAGCTGTGGCAGCAACTGGATCGCCTCGAGGAGAACGACCTCCGCCGTGCCGATGAGCAACGTCTGGAGAGCGAAGAGCTGCGTTCCATCAGCGCGGAGCGCAACAGCAATCGTCGGGCAAAGTGGTAAAAAAAAAACACCGCCCGAACCGACCCAAAGCCAAACTTCAGCTGAACTCAACGCCTCAACGACCTCAACGATCAACTGCAACGGAAACTCGATTATGTGTAGAACGTAAATCTTATGTATAACTTGTGTTCTGATAGTCTTACGTGGGATATGGTTACTTTCACTATTCACTCTGATTTCCTTAACACACATCTTCGCCAGAAACTAATCCAATCAAGCTCAAGTTTTCTGCATATCTGTCCCTAACTCTAGCTATAAGTTTAATTGTTTTTTTGTATAACTCTTTTAGTTAGCTGCATTATCAAACTTACTAAAAAAAGCAAAGAACAACAATATAGATAATAAAATAACGCACTGCGTACGAAGAAACGACGTAAAATGTGACTTTACTGAGTCGAAGTGCAATAGCAACAGGCCCCTTATGCTATGCTTGGCCAGTTGACTCCTTTCATGGACTTTTGACACTTTGCCATGCCAAAGTTTACCCAGCTATCCAACAGTTCACGTGTGTGTTTCGTTGCCCATACGCCCAGCACAACATTCCTAGAGCTGAGCAAGTGCCAACAAGTTTTTTTAATAACAACATTGTAAGCTTAGTTATACGACGAACAGTGTTCAAGCAAAGTTGATCTACCTGCAGGGAACATGAAGTTTACGCAACACACTTAAAAAATAAACTCAGCTACGAAGGTTCGGGGTGCTTAAAGGAGACAACTTGTTAATGGCATCACTGTAAAAACAATCAAAAAATAAATCAACTTTGTGCAGCATATAAAAGCTTCAGAATTGTTTGAATCACTGAGTTTATTTTTAAAGTAAAACGTGGCTAGAGACGAATGTCACAATATTGTCTTGTAATAGTCAAGAGAGAAATTAAAATTATATTTTCCACAAAGAATTTTTAAAATATTT